AGAGAGAGAGAGAGAGAGAGAGAGAGAGAGAGAGAGAGAGAGAGAGAGAGAGAGAGAGAATCTTACAGTTCTGGTAAATCAGCACCCTGATTATGAATGTCGACAAGCTAGGTTTCCGGTCCTAAACAGTGAAGTGGATATTGCCTTGTTGTGGTGGGGAGATACACCTGTGGGAAATCGGGTCCAGCGTCCCTCATGAACTCTTCGCTGACAATGCCGCTGGTACTACCAGTACGATGATGATGACGATGATGATGATGATGGGAAAGCTGAAGAAACTGGTGATAATGAGCGTCTGCTGATGATGATAACGATATTGATTCTATGGTAAAGGATAAACTATATCAGAGCAACCAGGCCTCACAATCTATGAGTAACTCCCAGGAAGTGTCCAAATGCATTGGACATATAAATTGTTAGCCTAGAGGAGTGAGGCCCATAATCTCATATAGGTCTTGAAGGGTGTCATAACATAGAAACCCAATGTGTGCACTCCAAGCTGTCATGAGTGGAGAGTCAGGCAGGTGACAATGCAAAGGGCCTAGTTGCATTACTCGCCATCCGCCAACAGTTTGAATGCATCTGGACAAATTCGAGTCCAGATGCGTCATCCAAAATGTTGGCAGATGGGGAGTAGCCCCTGTCTCGAGTGGATATAGTCAGGTAGGTGACAATCCAAAGGGCCTACCTTCTTCCCCCAAATACAACGTACGGTCATTATAGCTGTATTTTGACTGAAGGTACACGAAATACCGCTGTAGTGACTGCACGTTGTCTTCTCGGATGCTGGGCTTCTTCTCTGGGTCCCGCTTTTATCAGTCGTTTGGCCTGAGCGCAGTCCACATGGTACTCCAGCTGCAGGTCCTCCCTTTGGTTGTCCCAAATGACCGGACTCGGGGCCCTCGGCTGTGGAAGTGTTTGCTGGCATCGTCGTCTCCATATCATCCATATTAGTGCATGCAGCCTTATCTGCTGCATCTCAAGATTCTCAACTCCTTTTTTTTTTTTTTTTTTTCGCTCTAGGTTGCGAAAAATGCAATTGCCAATCCGAGGTTCGCTGAAAAGACTGCTACTAGCAACAAAAAAAGTACATGCCCTCTAACTGGAACTGCAAAGTAGTGTTTACTGCCTGCAAAAAGGTGCTACCAGGAACCACAGAGATTCAAAATGCCTTTTTTAAGTTTTTTGCTGGAATTTCAGGCTCTGAGTCTCTCTCTCTCTCTCTCTCACACACACACACACTCACACACACTCCTGATGAGTCGGTGAAAGTCCGACGGAACAGTCTGGCACAGTCCTGCTTTTTTTTTAGTGTCACAGTCTCTCTCTCTCTCTCTCTCACACACACACACACACACACACACACACACACACACACACGCAGGCACATGCAATGAATTGCAGCGCTGTAAACGGGCTGTATAGTAATTTTGCCCATCTTGTCGTTGTTGAGACTTGATCCCGCAACCGTGGTTTGCTGTGTTTGTCAGTTTGCCCTGTTTGCGTTGTTTCTTTGTTTTGGGCTTGTTTTGGGCTTGTTTTGGCTTTTTTCGGGCCTTGATCCCGTGACCTGTAACTCGTGTGTTTTGTTTGTGAGTGTTGCGCCCTATGGTACTTGATCCCTGAGTCTGTCACCAGTAGTCTCTGTTTGAGGTCATAGGTCTAGGTCCTCTTTTCCCCGTTTTCATCTAGATACAGCTGAGTCTTGGGTTGTTGCCTTTGGAATCGGTCGTAGGTCTAGGCAGAGGGTAGAAGTAGTGGGCAGGAAATTAGTTTCGGGCCTTTCGCATCTCGTTTTGACTGGGGAGCGCTGGTGTGCTATTTTGGGCGAGGGCATCTTCTTCCTCGAAGCCCCGCCATAGCTGGGGTTGGGAAAGGAAGTTGAAGACTGCACTGCTGCTATTTTGCAGCTCTGCATGAGAGCTTCCACAGGACTGTGTTGTTGGGTTTGGGCGCTGCTGTTTTCCACTTGGCAGCCATATCTGCTCATGAGGAACTTCGTCTTCGTCAAAGTGCTGGATCGATCGTCTCCTTCTTCATCAGGACTTCCAGCGCTGCACTTCCGTGCGCGCGCTGCGCTGCTATCATTGGGGTTGCTGGTTCAGATTAGCACCTTGTGACAGCTGTGGGGTTACTGCGGCTATGGCAGCCATAGCCAGGGAGGGGTATGAGCTGGCGAGGAGGAAGAAGAAGAAGACTCCTGCTTACTTCGTTGAACATTTGTTTTTTGTTGTTTGGGGTTGTTGAGAACGCTGTTGTGATTCTTGGAATAAAGTACTCTGGGTTGATTGCAGGAGGAGGAAGGGGGATTGGAGAACTGAAATTCTTGTTTTCTATTCTCTGTGCATTTTGAGCTTTTGTTGTGCATATCTTCTCTCCGGTCTTGTGTGGATCTGCCTCCTTCCAGTCTTCTCTGCAATTGCATGCGTGAATGGGAACGTGTGAATTCGCGGTGGATTGAAGTTCAATAAGGTTCGTAACAGTTGCTATCGGATCTGCGATTGTGTGCCACCGGCGAGCAATTGAGTGGCAACCTCCTCTGCGCGGCGGTTGGAGTAGGGACGTGTCCTCCGCTCTCTTCAACGGTGAAAGGTAGTGTGGGAGGGGAGAATTACCGCAGCAAAAAAAGAAGAAAAAGGAGATGTGGAGCGGTGGTGGAACGATCGTGTGAAGTTTCAGCCGCGGTGAGAGTGGATTTGACCGGTGCGTCAACCCTAAGTGGCGCGGTAGACTGAGTGTCAGTCAGGTGACCCTCGAGTCGCGAACCTTGCGTGCAGACGGCAGGGGACAACCGTTTGGCCCGCTGCTGGGGTCACTTTGACAAGCTCTTTGCTTGGAAGACTCAGCGGAATACTCACTGCAGGTATAATTACGTTGACATCGGACTGGTCGATAATCTGCTGCAGTGGTTGGTCGACGTCAATCAACCAAAGAGTATTCCTTGACCAACCAGATATCATCAATCAAGGATTGCTTAAGTGAGTTCGTTCCGTGGATTTTCTAGCCTGATGTCAGACCCTGTCAGTCTCTGTCAGCGTCAGTCGGTGTGCAGTCTAGATCAGATTGGTTGTCAGTTATCCTTGGTCGGTGTTAGTCGCTCTCCCTTTCCGTTCTCCGAGTCCGTTCTAATCTGACGAGGGGAATGCTATTGACGTACCCTGACCTCAAGGGATTGCCAGTCAGTTCTGCAAGTGCCAACCATAAATGGCGTCTGTCCCAGCGGTCAGTTTTGGTCTGTCAGTCAGTCTTGTCAGTTGGCAATTACTAAAGGCAATCAGAAAAGGGTTAGTCAGTTAATAATGACTTCTGTCTACGTCAGATGTCAGGTGGTCAGTCAAATGACATATTCCTATCTTGATTAGAGCAATGGATTTTCCAGACTGCACTTGCGGTTAAAGAGATCTGCTCCGGTTTTATCTTTTTTTCTTTGATTGCATAAATAATACTATCTCTCTGAATGTTAATGTTTTTGGGAAGGCTCTGCGGTGAGCCTGATCAAAAACAACTCTGTATTTCTGATCGGGTTCCAGGCTCAGACATAGTTGTTCCATTGACTGTTTTGGCCGTCTGCCGGAGCTTGAAACCTCCCAGACTGTTTTCTGACATTTGACACTACCTGCCATGTTCGCCATACCCTTAAACACAGCACAGTAACTCTCGTTACCTGGGTTCTGAGTGTGAACTGTAATCTGAGTTATTTTACTTTTATTTTATTTGTATCTATCTGACAAATAAAAAGTTAAAGACCAGAATGGTGGAGGTTGAGGAGGTTTGCCAAACCTCAGAGGGAAGTGGAAAGAATTGAGAGAGAAAAGGCAGAAGCGTCCCAGATAGGAAAGACAGCAGCCAGATAGGCTGAGCTGCTGGGGAGATTTAATGAGGCCAAGTCTGATGGCCACATTTAT